AACCATGACAAAATTGTGACTGGATACTGTGCAGGAACAAATCTACTGGATCACGCACTCGCATTTCTTGTAGCCATCATTCTCCCCCTCGTCGTCCGACAAACCCTCGTCGCTGTTAAAAACATAGCTTCAGTATTCTGTGCAAGCAGTATGTATACATTCAATGCTAATACCCATGGAGCCTAAAACTATTGGTGACACATGCTTTCTAAGAGTTAAAACTGTCGTATTCTGGTGTGTATGGTGACAGTGAAAACAAAATGAGAGAAGCTACCGACCTTGTTTCAAATTCTCTGATCTCAAAAAGTTCTTTCCCACACGTGTCAGTCCAGTGAACTTTCCTCCGCTCCATACCAGTTTTCAAGGTTTGCACCTCCTCCAGAGACTCCCGTGGTTGTTCCTCGCTGTCACTAACAATAGAACCGCGGTCAGACGAGTCCCTTTTCGAATTACTCTTAAGACAGCCTTTTCTCCCGCTTCCGTTTATGGAGGAACCATTGGCTGTTCCTTTCCTGCTTGTGGAACTGGATAATTGCTGCCGCGTGTTACTTGAGCTCAATTTCGGAGGAGATGCGCCCTCAAGCCTAGCAGGTGTGCAGCCAAAGCAGGTGAAGGAAGCACATTTACCAGGAACATCGTCTTTTGTTGGAGGCAGTGGCCCCCCATGCCCAGCCTCCCGATCGACTAGTCGATAGTGATTCCAGGACGATGCCCTTACAGGCTGCTCCTCAGTTCTCCGGCCGAGCAACAAAAGTGCAAGGCCATGGCTGTATCCTGATGCGGATGATGAGAAAAAACCTCCTCCCTCCACAGCCAGTAGCATTTCAGCTTCTCATCCAGCCACCATGAACTGAATCTAACAGACAGCTCAATCAAGACCACCAGACCACCAAAATAATGTGTAGTAGCAGGAGCAGAATATCTTCAGCTGCTACCTTAATATGCTGCAAGATGAATAACATAATAAGTCATTGGAACTATTAACCATTAATTCATTTGGAGAGCCACATCAGTTTTATAACATAAAAAAGCAGAAGGTTAACCACTCATTCATACAGTTATGCATTAGTTCCCTGCTATGCTACTGTTTGACTTTCAGTAGGTAAGGTAAGCAGGGAACCATTCTAGTCAGGTAATCGGCGGCATGACTGTGCACAATTTTATCAAGTGCACAATTGGGGAACTGATCCTTTGGTTCAGATCTCGCCCTGCCTAAGTGCTGTCAACCACATTTTCATACCAGGAATAGGGAACCGAAATGCAGCTGTTATTATCCTCACCAACCATAATTGCACCTACAGATACAGTTGGCTGTCTACCTGAACCAATTATATAGTTACTTAAACATCATGGATCCACAACAAACCAAGAAAGAGACACCTCAAATTGGACATTTTCTCAGCACTACATACGTAATATCTTGATCAACTTACACCGCAAGACTACAATGTCTGCATCTGAATACCAAAGTTCAGCTCAACATGGGGTACCTGACAAAGATCTTACCGGTGCATCAAAAAGCGAGTGAATAAAGCAGCCATTCGCAAACACGGATCTGGCCATCAGGGCAGGGCTGGATCCAGATGAAAGATGTGGAGGTAAGCACGATTTAAGTAACTAAGAGCAACTCCAATGGGGCGACCCATTTCGTCCGCGGCCGTCCGTTTGGGTCGGAGCGGACAAAAAAGCTGGCCCAACGCGCCGACGAAAACGGACGCGCGTCCGCTTTCGTCCGCCTGCCGACCCATTCCCAGCCCATTTTTTAGGCTGATTTGCGTTGGCGCGGACACAAGACGGACGCGCGCGCGCTCGCCCTCTTTCCTCACCGAGCCCGCTGGTCGGTGGCACATTGGATTCACACACTCGCCCGCCTGCTACGTCGCCGATGCCGCCGGCCATTTTTTCAGATTAAAATGGATACATAGATAGTTCTAGTGTACACAGATAAAAGAACCACTACTCGTCGTTTTCTGACTCCGACTCGGTAATGTCCTCCTCCGACGTTTGAAGGTAGGCGTCAGCAAGCTGCTCGTCTTCAAAGTCCCAACCCGACGTTTCTTGTAGCTTCAGTTTCAATTGAGCTGCCTGCTTCCGCGAACGCTTGTCCTCCCGATAGGCGGCTCGCTCCCTCCTCCTCGCGTCCCTCTCCGATCTCAATTGCTTATAGAACTGGCGCTCGTCGACGATGTCCTGCGGGTAGCCTCCTCGCCACAGCACCAAGGCTTCCACGTCCTTCTCTGCGATGGCGAGGCGACGCTGCCGCCTCCGATGGACACGACGATCCTCGTCGGTGAAAAGCCACGGGAGAGGCGCCAGATCCTGCGCCCGCTGGCTCGACACGTTGGGAAAATTCATATCCCGACGAGGCCTCAGGAGGCGCCACGCCGCCGCGTCGTGCGCGCGGGCCGCCTCCTCTGCGGTGTCGAAGGTGCCGAGGACGAGACGTTTCTCGCGAAACCAGATCTCGGCGGAGAAGGCGCCGGAGCGGCGCTCGCGGACTCCGCAAAAATCCGAAGCGCGTAAGCGGCGGATCGACATGGTGGCGCAAAGGCGACGAGAGTGGGCGGCCGACAGAGTGTGGAGGGAGCGCCTTCTTTTATAGCGAGCGCCGGCCGCGGCGCGCGCGCGAACCTTTCCCGTGCGCTGGAGCGCCAAAACCAGCGCGCGCGAACCTTTGCCGCGTGCTGGGGCGTCAAAATCAGGGCGAGGGCACGATGTTAAAACGCGCGCGGTCATGAAAATGGGTCGGCCCGTTGGGCGCACTGCCGACCCAAAACTAAAAGAGGGCGGACGGCGGGCGGGCGGCCGACCCAAATTGACAAAAAGCGGACAAAAACGCCGTCCGTTTGGGTCGGCCCGTTGGAGTTGCTCTAACCACTAGATGAAACAGGCCCATACCTCAAAACCCAATGGCCAAAGATTGTGGAAGGGTGGAAAACTGGAAACAGCAGGAGCACGATGTCACGGTGAGGAAAAGAGGTAAGAGCGATGGTGGCAACTCACAGGAGTGGTGGAGGTGTTTGGGGGAGGGAGGGCATGGGGGCTGGATTGAGGCGTCGGCTGTAGCTGCTGGTAATATACAGCTCGGCAGCCAGCGGTAGGACAGGTGGCAGTATAGTGTGCACACACTAGAGGCCAAGAGATTTAGAGCCGCGCTGGTTTGGACTTGGGTTGGTAGGTCAGTGGTCAGCAGGAGTAAGAGGAAACAAAGGTACATGAAGAAAGAGATGGTGGAGTTTGGGTTGATATTTTTCTTTTCTTTAACTAAATAAAATACTTCTTCAGTGTTCTAATTATCTTACAATATAAAATGTGTAATTAGTATAGGCGTATATAGATAAATAAACAGGCAGTACAAGATAGAATGGCAAGGAATGAAGGAAGCATGCTTCTTTGAAGAGTCAAAACTGGTGTCTATTTGTCAGTAAACTGGCAGCAAAAATGGTATCTACCAGTTACTAACATGAATAGGTTACATGACTACGACACGATGCATAGAACATTTGAGTTTATACCTTTGTTTCTAATTCTCTGGTCTCAGAAAGTTCCTTCCACACGTTACTAAACTTTTGCCAGCTTCCGAGTGCACACACCCGTTTCAGCGACCCACGTGGCTCCTTGCCAACACTTACTATAGAAATAGAACTATGGGGGCAGGATTCTCTTCAGCTGCAGGACGAATAAGATGTTGGTCATAAATTCATTTCGAGAGCCAAGGCAATTTTCATAACACAAGGCACAGAGAAACTCAATGATACAAGTGCATATACATTGGTTGCATGCAATGCTACTGTTGTGAGTGTAGTATGTGAGGTAAACAGAGCAGGGAGGTGCACAATTCAGATGTCTATGCACCCTGAGAAGGTACTGAGGAACACATTTTCATCCAATCAGATACTAACTACTACTTGCTTGCTAGGTACTAAGCTCTAATTCATAGTATTGCACAGTAGGTTCCCTACCTATCTACCTATCTGAACCAATTATATACAGTCACGAAAAACACCATGGATGGGCTCAATAAACCCAAAGGTCCTGAGCATCTGAACTGAATTCCACCAACAAAGTCCAGGAGCTTGTGTTGTGCCCGTGATCGCACCACAAATCCAGAGCCAGCCACATCTCGGCAGCATTTTTCTGACCCACAGTCGAGTGTGCCGGTGGCCCAGAAGATAGACCCAAAAGGCGAGTGAAAAACGCAGGCATGCGCAAACACAGATCCAGCCATCAGGCCAGGGGTAGATCTAGATGAAAACATGTGGAGGTCAGTGCGGTAGTAACTACTAACTAACCACTGGATGAAAACATGCTCATACCTCAAAATCAATGGCCAAAGATTGCAGAAGAGGGTGGAAACAGCAGGAGCATGATGTCCCAATGAGGAAAAGAGGTAACAATGATGGTGGTAACGCGCAGGTGAGGCAGAGGTGCTCAGGGGGGATGGGGCTAGATTGAGAGGTTGGCGGTAGCTGGTGGTAAGATATAGCACGACAGCAGCTGAAGGGCAGGTGGCGGTACACACACAGTAGAGGCCAAGAGATTCAGAGCCCCGTCGGCTTGGACTTGGGTTGATATGTCAGTGGTCAGCAGGAGGACGAGGAAACAAAGCTACATGATGAAAGAGATGATAGAATTTGGGTTGATATTTTCCTTTCTTTAACTAAATATAAGATATGTTTGCAGTGTTTTCATTGTTTTCAAAAAATAGTGTCTACTTAATTTAGGTGTAAATACTAAATAGATGCATAAACTGGTACAAGAGAGAATAGCAAGGGATACGAACTACTGAAGGCTCAAAACTGGTTTCTTTTTTTGTTTTTCCAGTTAATACTAACATGAATCAGCTATGTGAGTATAACAAGTGCATGGAAATTTGATTTTGTACCTTGTTCAAATTATCTGATCACAAAAGGTTGTTCCCAACACCAGACCTGCCGGTCCACAGAACTTTTACCAGCTTCCAAGGTTCGCACTTGTTTAGCGACTCACACGGCTTCTCGCCAGCCACTTGGTACAGAACCGTGGTGGCAGGATTCTCTTCAGCTGCAAGATGAACAAATGTTGGAGCTAATCAAGTCATAGTAAATCCATTTGGAGAGCAATCGATGATACAAGTGCATATACATTGGTTCCATGCAATGCCAGTGTAGGACTTGCGGTGTGTGCGTTGAGCAGGGAGTGAAGTGCACACTGCACAATCAAGATGTCTCCCTGAGTAGGTGCTGGCTGGCGACTTTCGGGTTCTGACATTTTGTAATAATCAAAATGGACTGTGTTGCTGTTATAAGTTTGATGGTATGAATTTGGGAGCGACGCTCCTTAATTTAAAGACTACTAGAGAACTGCACTTATTGTTTGCTTTAGGTGGCGTGTATGTATAGCTGATAATATTAGGTTTCCCTACCAGCCATGACTGCATCCATCTACAGTGGGATGCCTATCTATCTCTCTGAAGTCTGAACCAATAATGCAGTCACCAAAACACTATGAATTGACCAGTATCCGAGCCAAGAAGTGATGGGTGCATGCGAGGTGAACTGAATCCCACCAGCAATCCCCAGGAGCCTGTCCTGCGCTGGCGCCACAAATCCAGAGCCGGCCACATCTGGACGCCATTCCCCCCTAACCAGAATCGCGCGTGCAGGCGCCCCAGAACCGCATTGGAATAGATGGCCGCAGATCTACCAATCGGTTCTGAAGGATCCCCCGCCGTCTGGCAGGCAGAGCACTAGCAGCCCAGCAAGCAGGACCAGCAGCCGCCGCATTTGCCCGAGCGGCCGGGCCGGCGTGGATCCCGTCGGTGAACGGCTACCGGAGCACCGG